GCTATTTACCCCCGTTTAAGTCTTGTTGTCAAAGGAGAAGAGCTGGGAACAGAACCCAGGGCCATCAGCCTCTGAGCCTGCTGGGGTCTCCCTGGGTCCTCCTTGCTGGCTCAGTCCTTTCTGCACTGGGACTATGTGTGGCTTGGGGTACCAGCAAGGTCAGTACTGGACCCAGGGGACCTGGGCAGTTCTTGAGCCCCAGGGCAGATCTCCACGTCAAGGGGAGGAGTTCCACCTCATGGGTGGGGCCTGGCAGCCTAGCTTAGGGTTCCTGGGGGCACCTGCTCTGGCAAGCCTTGGTCTTCTCTGCTGTAACATGGCTGTGTCAGGCTCCCTGCTGTGAGCGGCTTGAAAGGCCTCTTAGAACAATGCCCTTCAGCCCTGCTGTCTAGGGAGTGCTGCTGGGATCCAGTGAGAGGGCTCAGTGTCCATGGGGCCCCTGGTCACTGGCCCGCCCCATGACCAGGTGTTCAATAGACATTTAGCCTGCTCTACCACCTGTTCCTCCTGGGGCTTCTTAGAATTACTTCTGGGTGGGTATGTTCACACTGTTGTCTGTGGACACAAAGCTAGCGGTCATGTCCCCTGCTTGGCTCAGGTGCAATTCCTGGGGGATGTGGGAGGGTCCCCCAGGTCAGTAGCCATGCCCACTGCCCCAGCTTGCCTGCCTGCCCCAGGTTCCTCACTTGTGCCACCACTGCCAGAATTTTCAGTCCCCAGGCAGCAGGGCCACCTTGCTGGCCTTCCTCCACAGGAATCTGCCACCAACCCGGGAAACCTTTCATGTTCCTACCTTATCATCAGTGCTGTGCCATGTGGAGCTTCTGCTCGGCTTGGCACCAGCCTCTGAACCTGCTCCTGGCTGTTTGGAGCCAGAGCAGCCCTCGTCCCTAGTTCATCTGGCCATCAGTGTTGCGGGCCGTGTGTGTGTGTGTGTGTGTGTGTGTGTGTGGTGTGACAGGGGAATTCTGCTGCCTGGTCCTAGGGAACAGGTAGTCTTGGGATTCCAGCACATGAAGTGGAATTTTGTGATCTCTGCACCCCCATTGACTCAGCACCAAGGGTCATGCTTGAACTCATGCAGGCAAACCAATACATGAACTTGGCTGCCGAGAAATTCTGGTGTCCCCAGAAACTTACTGAGTGCTGTGGACTGGGTGGGAGCACAGAGAGTGCCAGAGGGCTTGCTTTCGGCTGTGCTACTTGCTTTCTTTTTTTCTGTAGTTTGTTAAAATTGACTTGGAGAGAGATCATCTCATTACTGGTTCATTTTCCTGAATACCCACAATGGCTGGGGCTAAGACAGGTCAACTCTGAAGCCAGGGACTCAACCCACATCTCCCATAGAGGGCCAGGGACCCAGCCTTTGTCATCACCTGCTCCCTCCTGGGTGTACCTGAGCAGGAAACTGGGCCTCACACCCAGGCACCCAGATGAGCAGCGGGCATCCCAAGTGGCATTTTGGCCACCAGGCGTGACACCTGCCCCAAAGGTCTGGCTTGGAGCCCCTACTCTGCTTCTTCCTGAGCTCTATTTTTCTGTTTTGCAGCGCAGGGGTGACCCTGGGACCCCTGCTGCAAGTTTGGAGCAGAGAGCGAGTATGTGTCGTGTGTGTGCCTGGTGCAGCCCCTGCGCCTCCGTGTGGCTGCTGTGGAAGGAGGTGGCCCCGCTGTGTTCTCCAGCTGTTTCTCGCCATCGCAGCGCTCCTGTTGCCTGGTTTGCCAGCTCGCTCCTTCATTCACTCACGTCTCCTTCGTCCTCCACTGTCACTGTGCTCTCACCTGCAGACTGGTCGCTTTGTGAGCTCTCTCCGGGTGGAGGTTGCCCTGGCATTTCCTAATAGGCTTCTCTAGGACCTAGGAGATACCTCTGTTCTTTCCATTCAGCCCTGCCCAGCATTGCCACTAACCTGTCCTTGTACCAGAGGCGTGCACTGTGGTTGCTCAGTTAAGGTAGTACTCGCCAGCCTTTTCCACTGCGAAGCAGTTTTCTCTTTGGAGAAATATCAAATAGGAAAGTACTTTGAGTCTATGTGAATTCCTCATTTTTTAAAATTTTTTATTTATTCACAGCTCTGCCTGTGTGATTTTCTGTTCTAGTCAATGGATTTGTAATCCCTAAACACAGCTTGTCCCAAGTAGAACCAGTGGCACAGGGACCAAGCTGTCCGGGTTTGCCTGGGACTGAGCAGGTGCCCAGGTGAGAGACAGGAGTAAATCCGAGGGAGGCCTGGTCGAACCTTGATGAGCTAGCCACTGCACCATGAAAGCCCACATGCTGACCCTGTGTCCTTCAGACAAGGTCTCTGTGATCCCTTCTGATACACTGACACATGATGTGCCATATGTACTTGGCATGTACTTTCTGACATGCTGATGTGACACATGTACTAACAGTCATGGGCACATGACATGCCCTGGCATGTACTTCCTTTCTGGCATACTGCCATGTTTCAAGCTCATGGTCTCCTGCCCACCCCCACCCCCCGCTCTGAAGCCCCTCATTTCTTGGAGAAGATCTAGAACCAAGAAACTTTTGAGTGTGCTGTACCACTCAAGGAAATAACCGTGCTCTGTGCCTACCTGCCTTGGTGCCTCGGCCCTACCTTGTTGTCCCTGTCCCCAGTCCCCTGCACTCTCCTGCATCAAGCTGGGCGGTCACTCCCACCAGGCACCAGAGGGTGGATGTCCTCCACTTCCAAGGTGGCCTGGATCTGTCCTGCCCCTTGTGGAGCAGACCTTAGGGCAGAAAGGGGAGGGGACTTGTTTGAGGTCACCTGCAGGCTGGAAGCTGACCTCAAGCTTCACAGTGAAGCTTGACCCCCCAGAGAGCGGGGTCCTGTGGTGTGAGGGCCCTAGTGTGGTCCCTGGCCCAGGGCATGTGCTCCTGACAGGCCCCCTGGAGCCGGATCGCTCCTGTAGAAACAGCATGGTACACGTTAGGGAGTCCAAGCTGAGGGCTAGCTGTGAGAAGACCAAATCCGTACATCTCACCACCTAGGGACCCAGGGAAGGCTGCTGTGAGCACTGGGCTGCCACGTGCCTTCCAAGCCTATACTGATCTCCCCTGAAATGAGACAAACGTATTTCCTTTTCTTTCTTACAGCTTAACTGTTTGTATTTTTTTGTGACAGGCAGACACCCAGCCAGAAAGAAAAGGAGAGGCAGATCCAGATCTTTCATCTATTGGTTCACTCCCCAGATGCCTACAATAGCCAGAACCCAAGCAGTCTTAAGCCAAGAACAAGGAACATGATTTGGGTCTCCCATGATGGGTGGCAGGGAACTAAGCACCTAAGCTGTCACTACTGCCTTCAGGGTATACATTCAACAGGACGCTGGAACTTGAACCTGCACCCATCCAGGGGGATAATCTTCTCAAGTGACATTTGTCTGTCTGTCTATTTCTTTTTAAAGATTCAAGCTTAACTGGCTGTGGTATAACACTGCCCTCCCCCAGTGTCCTTTATAGCTGCATCTGAATCAGTACACGCCCCAGGGCCACACTGCCCTTGTTAATGGTGTGTGCCATACCTCTCTCTGCTTGTAGCTGGTTCCTTCATTATGAAGTTGACCTGCGAGGGAGGCTGGGCCGTTGTCCTAGGAGAGCATCTCGCTCTCGGACTCCACCTGGTGGCAGTCTCAGGGCATCAGTTAATTTGTCTCTCTGTCCCTCTGTGTGTGCTGTCAGTTAATGTCCACGCCTGGGCCTTGATGAGCTTCTTGTTACGTCTTCTTTTGTTTGTTTTTTTTTAATATTGTAAGGGCAGATCTACAGAGAGAAGAGACAGAAAGATCTTCCATCTGCTGGTTCACTCCCCCAAATGGCTACAATGGACAGAGCTGAGCCCATCTGTAGCCAAGAGCTTCTTCAGGGCCTCCCACGCAGGTGCAGGGTTCCAAGGCTTTGGGCCATCGTCAACTGCTTTCCTAGGCTACACGTAGGGAGCTGGATGGGAAGTGGAGCAGCTGGGACATGAACTCGCACCCATATGGGATCCTAGTGCTTACAGGTGGAAGATTAGTCAGTGTAGCCATCGTGCCATCACTGTGTACTATTCCTTAGTGGCACCTGGGCCCAACCTAGCACTGGGGGCAAGCCTGGGCTCTTTCTCCCTTGTGTGGGTTTACACGTGTCCCTGGGGGGTAGAGAGTAATTTGTGTGGGTTCCCTTTGTGCTGTCTGAATGCCAGTTCTGGGAAACCATTGTAAACTATACCAGAAAACGTGTTCATTTGTGGAAGGGAACTTGATCTTGGAGGTTGGATTCCTGGGTGAGAGAAAACAAAATCACAGAACAAGCACACTGACCGTGTTTCATGTTGCTGAGTGCAAACGAAGGAAACCTGGTCCTGCCTGTGCTCACTTTGCAGACATGTGATCTAGTTAAATCCCAGCTCTGTAGCTCCCCGCCACGGAAGCCGGGGCCAGTTACTTAACCTCTTTGAAACTCCTTGGGTTTCTCACAGCGTGGGGGTAAGGACCCAGTATAGTGATGTGGGGCCTGGCTGTTGTCTCCCTGAGACAGAAAACTCTGAGGGCAAGACTGTTAAATAGCAAGAAATCTGATGTTTTCCATGGGTCTGGGTATTAAGGACCATGGAGGGCAAGTGATGGTCCACTTATACCCTCTGTGCTTTTTGAGTGAGTCCATGCCAGGCTCTAAGCCGAGTAGACCGAAATTTTACCCCCTGGCACCACACAGGGCTGTGGGGGAGCACGCATGCATGAGCGTGCACATGCACACACGCGGAAGGTCAGGAAGGCTACTTGAAGGAGGAGACTCAGCCAAGGTGGCCCCTGATCTCTGGGTGCAGAAGCTGGCTGTCTTCTAGCTCTGGTAGCTTCTCAGGTAGCTAGACGGGGCACGTGGAAAAGAGTGAGTGCCTGCTGGCTTCAGAAACCACATCTCCCCCATTCCTTTGCCCTCTTCCCCCACACCTCCCCACTCCTCAGGCCTGTCTCTCCCCAAGCCCTGACCCACCACATGTCTCCTTCTAGTGCCGGATGGAGTGCTGTGACGTGCCAGCCGAGACGCTCTATGATGTCCTGCATGACATCGAGTACCGAAAGAAGTGGGACAGCAATGTCATCGAGACCTTTGACATCGCCCGCTTGACGGTCAATGCAGACGTGGGCTACTACTCCTGTGAGCAGGCGCGGGGCGTGGCCTCCCCTGGGAACTGACAGGCCTGGCCTCCTTGGTGTCGCTGTTGCCTCCTAGACACCTGGGCACATGCACACACACACTGGCACACATGCATGCATTCGTGTGCTGGTGGCCACTCCACGCATGGCAATGCTGATAGCATGAATTCCCCGATATACACTCACAATAGTGCTGGTTTTTAAACAATTTTTCTTTGAAGAGAGAAAGAGAACTCAGCCAGGTGTCCAGAGCCAGGACTGGGCTAGATCAAAACTAGGAGTTTTTCATGTGGATGAGGAGCCCAAGCACTCAGGCCATCTTCCTCAGCTTTCTCTGGGGTATTAGCAGGGAGCTGGATTAGAAGTGGACTAGCCGGACTTGAACTGGCACCCATATTGGATGTCAGCACTGCCAGCGGCAGCTTTATGTACCATGTCACATCACTAGTCCTAGTGATGCTGTTAGTTTTTTTTTTTAAAGATTTATTTTTATTATTTTTTTTATTGGAAAGGCGGAGAGACAGAGAGGAAGATCTTCCGTCCGATGATTCACTCCCCAAGTGAGCGCAACGGCCGATACTATGCCGATCCGAAGCCAGGAGCCTCTTCCTGGTCTCCCACGCGGGTGCAGGGTCCCAAAGCTTTGAGCCGTCCTCGACTGCTTTCCCAGGCCACAGGCAGGGAGCTGGAAGGGAAGCGGGGCTGCTGGGATAGAACCGGCGCCCATATGGGATCCCGGGCGTGCAAGGCGAGGACCTTAACCACTGCGCCACCGCACCGGGCCCTGCTGTTAGTTTTTTTACAGTACAAAATATTTTCTTAACATTATTATTTGAAAGGTGGTGTTACAGGGAGGTTGAGTAGGAGACAGTGAAGGAGAGATCCACTGACCTACTTCTTAAACAGCCACAACAGCCAGAGCTGAGCCAAGCCAAAGCCAGGAGCCAGGAGCCAGGAGCTTCTGGATCTCCCACATGGGTGCAGGGGCCCAAAGATTAGAGTTGCTTTCCTAGACCATAAGCAGAGAGGGAGCTGGATTGTAAGTGGAACAGCCAGGACATGAACCAGTGCCCATATGGGAATGGATGACACTGCAGTGAGAGCTTTACTTGCTATAGCACAGCATCAGCTCCACTGGTTCTGATTTACTCCCATTTGCAGGTGCCAGCAGGCCAGGCCAGTGGGGACAAGGGCCAATAGGAGTATGAGGAGTGGGAGAGGCTCTGCTGGGAGTCTGGGCAGGCACCTGGTAGGCCTCACTGCACGACCGGCCCCTGCTGTGCCCTGGGCGAGCTAGCGCTTGGGTTGAACTCTCCCTTGCTTTCCACAGGGAGGTGTCCCAAGCCCCTGAAGAACCGTGATGTCATCACCCTGCGCTCCTGGCTCCCTATGGGCGCTGATTACATCATCATGAACTACTCAGTCAAACATCCTGTGAGTGGAGTTGCTAGCCCTGTGCGGGTGGCTGGCCGAAGGTGCCAGGCAGGGCTGGGCCTTGGCCATCACCGTGATGTCTCTACGAGCCCTCTGTCCCCCAGCCTGGTTTCCTCCCTGGACAAGAAGGACCATGGCTTCTGGCTCCTGTTGAGGCTGCCACATAGACTGGGGGGGGGCAGGTGGGGGGCCTTTCCTGGCGGGTGAATGGGATGGACTGTGCTCTGGGGCAGGGCTAGCCAGGAAAGGATGACACGCAGAGTCCTTCCCACCCCCATATCCCTGGGCAGGGGCTGCTGGCCCAGGCCCAGGTGAGTGTGTGTCTGTGGGCACTCAAGGAGAATGAAGGAAGCTGCAAGAAGTGGGCCAGGATGCCCTGGTCTGCTGTTTCTCTCACCCCTCACCCCCTCATCTGCCTGGTCTGGCACAGCTGCCAAGGGATAGGAACTAACTCCATGTGAGCGTGTGTGTGTGTATGTATGTATACTTACAGCAATGTCCCTGGGTCCCCCTTCTCCCACACCCCCAGTTCACCTCCCTGTGCCTTCCATCCCCAGAAATACCCACCTCGGAAAGACTTGGTCCGAGCGGTCTCCATTCAGACGGGCTACCTCATCCAGAGCACGGGGCCCAACAGCTGCGTCATCACCTACCTGGCCCAGGTGGACCCCAAAGGTGAGGGCTTGGCCCTGGCAGCCTGGCCTGGGACCCCTCCCACAGCGCAGCGCACAGGGGCTTGATCAGCCAGGACCCAGAGGCATCTGTTGGGAGCGGCTTTGTGTTCTGGAATGAGCCCATCCCAAGCCCCGCTTGAAGCAAGGATTGCAAGTTCCCAAGTTCCCAGTGCCTCAGAGCACATGGGGGCCCAGGCGCCGCTTCTCCTCTCAGCTTGCTTGCAGCTCTCCCAGGCTCCCAGGCACCTGGGCTCTGGCTCATTGGCTCCCATCCTCTGCCCATGACGGAGGCCTGGGTTTCCCAGTTTGTGCTCTTTCCCCCTGGAGGGCTCCTCCACTCGCCTGGCTTCTGGGGCAGCTGACCACACGCCTCTGTCTGCTGCTGCGATCCATCCATCGGCCCCCTGCACGTTTCCCTCAGGTGCGTTCGTTCTCGGCACCTGAAGCTCCTGCTCCCTGTGCCCCCTCAGGACCCATCCCCTCTCCCAGCCTGCCTGTGGTCACCCCTTCCGTGCACCTGCAGGTGACCTGCAGCCCTCACCCCCTTTGGTTCTTACTGATTCAGCCCCCAAAGTCTCTAGTGAAACTCATTCCTCTTGTCCTCAGCTGCTGCCCTGTCTGCCTGCACCTGCCACCAGAGAACTTGTTCTAGAATGCTTATTGGCGTGACACAGTCTGCTTGAGATGTCCCAGGGCTCTGCTCTGCCTTGGACCCCTCCCCAGTTTCACCTCTCCATCCTTCTTGCCCTGTCTCACCACTTCTTTCTTAGCCCAGACACCACACTGCTCTACCCAGACCCCCAGGGAGGCAGTGTCCCTGCTGGCTGGGCCCACTTCCCTCCAGCGAGACCCCTGATAGAGCAAATGGGCCCCCAGGCAGGAGTGAATGTGCCTGAGTGAGTGCCTAACTGACTGGTCCTCCCTCTTCCCCTTCCCCTCCCCCTGGCCAGGTGTGCCATGCCTCTCAGAGCTGGCAGCTGGGAATGAGGCTGGGGGCAGTGCTGGGCTGTGGGTCCCACGCTGGGCCCAGAGCAGCTGCTTGCCCCAGGGGACTGTGTGCTCAGAGGAGAGGTTAGGAGGGACAGAGGCTAGAGAGGGGTCAGGTGTAAGAAGGGCTGCATCGGGGGAGGGAGGCGGCAAGCTGCAAGCTGGGTGAGTTTCAATGCCCAGGGCCCTGTGGTCGCCTGCTGTGGATCTGGGGACCTTGGGCTGATGGGAGAAGGGGCTAAACACAAGCTGCACTCTCCAGGGCTGACAGGGGTTTGGTGGGAGCAGAGGTTTCCCTTTGCCCACCCCTCACCATCTTCCCTACTTTCCCAGGCTCCTTACCCAAGTGGGTGGTGAATAAATCTTCCCAGTTCCTGGCGCCCAAGGTGAGTGGCCCTGGGACTTTGGGATTGGGGGCCAGGCAAGAGAGCAGGGCAACTGCTGAGGGCGGGGCGTTGGATACCCCGGTCTCCCTCCCTCCCTCCCCACCCCCTACGGTCTGCCGCAGCTGCCGGGGAGGAGGGGATACCAAGAAGTTCTGGTCCCCCATCCCGCGCCCCGGCGGGCCCGCAGGCCATGAAGAAGATGTACAAAGCGTGCGTCAAGTATCCCGAGTGGAAGCAGAAGCATCAGCCGCACTTCAAGCCGTGGCTGCACCCGGAGCAAAGCCTGCTGCCCAGCCTGGCGCTGTCGGAGCTGTCGGTGCAGCACGCGGACTCGCTGGAGAACATCGACGAGAGCGCAGTGGCCGAGAGCCGCGAGGAGCGCGGGGGCGGTGCGGGTGGGGAGGGCAGCGACGATGATACCTCGCTCACCTGAGTGCGGCGGGGCCGCCACCGCAAGGACCGCACAGGATGGGCCGGGGCTGGGGACCGCGGATCCGCCCGCACTTCCTCCCCTCCCTCCTGGCCCGCGCCTCCTGGGGCTATGGGCTCGGGCCTGGCTGGACACAGCCGCAATAAACGATCCCAGCTCCTCCCCTTGCCTGCTTCCTCGGAGAAAGTCGTTGGTGCTGCGGCTGCTCACCGGGTGCTTGGGTGCAGCCCAGTCTGCATCCAACTGCCGGCCCTGGGTGTGGGTACCCAGCGCCCTTCTGGCTGGGCTGCCTGGCCTGAACCTGGGAGGATGGAGTGGGGGGAGAAGTGGGTAAGCTTTGGCCTAGGCCCCTAGGATATCCTGTCCCCCCTGCATTGTGGCCTGCAGAACTGAGGGTGGGGAAGCACAGCCTGTAGGAGGGAAGGTCTTTCAGACTCCAGGACAGGGAGGTACTGCACACTCCCTGGGGTGCTCCCAGCCAGGTCAGTGGAGAAATGCTGAGCCTTCAGCCCACAGGCTTTGCCTGCTTGGATGCCTCCTTCCCACCCCGTGGCTGGAGTCCAGACCTTCTCCCCAGGGCCTGGCCCTAGCCCTGGCTCTGCTGTTGCAAGGAGCAGAGGGCTGGAATAAACTCTGTGGAAGGCAGGTGAGAGTCTGTAACCACCGGGAGAGGGTTTGCTTGCAGCTGTGCCTGGCCGCCAGCCTGAAAGGCCTGGGAGCCTCACTTCCTAAGCCCTAACCTGGGGCTACCAGGTTTTTCCTTCCAGCAGAGGCGGAGGGTCCTGGCCTATGGCAGGGGCTTGAATTAATAGCACTGTTCTCTTGGTGGGGGGAGACCCCCATGCTCACCCTCCTGAATGCTGGATTTCCAAATGGCCCGAGGGTGCATATGAAGAAATGGAAGTCCAGAGAAGGTAGGGCTGTGACCTGGATGACTCTGGACCCAGAAATGCCCACCTAGACCTGAAGAATTGCCACTGGACAGCACTCTCTCCCCTCATGCCCTGCCCCTGGGAGAGTGGCAAGCAGAGAAAGCAGATGCCCCCTGTGGGGAGAGGACCTCCCGAAGGAGGTGTTAGGGGATCCTGGGCCTCCCGCCACCAGCTGCCCATAGCCCTGATGATGTGGGCCCTCAGCAGAGCAGGGGGAAGAGTTGAGAGCCTAGTCACCCCAGACTGCTCAGAAGAGGGGTGTCAGGAGGTAGAAGGCTCAGGGGCAGATGGAGCATAGGTTGTGAGTAGTGGGCGTGGACTTGGGCCTCCGGAGACTGGCTAGGACGCTTGCCACCGAGAGGGCCAGGAGAGGGATGCAGAGACCCGCCAGTCGGGCAGGGGGGCCAGGCTGGTCGCCCAGAGGTTTGCTCCAGGGGCTGGCTGAAGGCGGGGCCGGGCCGGGTTCCTGCCCCTTCCCCCGCCCCGGGGCGTCACGTGGGGCGGGCGGAAGCACCCAGTGGGGTGGGCGCGCCCAGCAGGCTGCCGTGAGTCGGCGGCGGCAGCGGCTCCCTGAGTCGGCGGCGGCAGCTGAGTTCCCCGGATTTGTGTGTGGAGTCTTCACTGGGAACAGGTGGGTGCGGCTGTCGGGCCGGCATGGACGCAGCACCTCGCTAGGTGCGGTCTGAGCTGCCCCATTCTGCGGAAGGGAACGCCGAGGCTGCACACCGGCTGTGCGCCTGGCACTCACTTCCCGAGTCGGGGCGGTCCTGTGATCCTGGGTGTGCTTGCGTGTGTGTGAGTGGGCTCTTGAGGATGAGTGGCGGTGTGGGAGGTGGGAGGGCGGGAGGGAGGTGGGAGAGCTTGCAGCCCGGCGGCATAAGGGCTCCCCAGGTTCTGGGGCCGGTGCTCTCCAGTGAGACTCAGGCTCCCGCTCACCGCCGAGCCCTTGACCGGTCTGGGTCTGCAGGTGCGTGGAACCTGTGCCCGGGACCTGTGGCTCCTGCGACCTTTGGCAGGTTACTTCCGGGCTCTGCGCCTCAGTTCCCCCCAGTAGTAAACGGGGGCACGGCTTCCCAGGAGCTCCTCTCTGGCCCAGTTGCTAGCAGAGGTAGGTGTGTGCGTGTGCGTGTTGAATGGGGCCAGGCTGGGAATGCAGTGTGGTTGGGACAGGAGGGGGTCCAGGGAACGCAGGTTGGGGGACACGGCATGGGCATTTGTCCCCAGATCTTCAGCTGTGGTCCAAGGGAAATTGCCCTTTCTCCTTCTCTCCCTCCCCTCCCCTGAGTGTGTGGGGTGGGGCCTTAGGGCTAGACATTGGGGGGTTTCTGGGGACAGGGAAGGATATGATGATGCCATCGGGCTTCCAAAGTGCCAGACAGAGGCACTCCTGCTGCTGATCTCAGTGGCTGGGGGGAGACCGCCCAGTGAGATCATTACAGGGTGGCAGGAGCCTGGCACCCAGTACATAGCTGCAGACAGGTGTGGGCAGGTGCAGGCCCAGGGGTTGGGCAATGTCTGCCGGCATCATGCTGGTTAAGTGGCACTTTCCTTGGATGGAGGAGTGCATAGCTCATGCAGAGGCAAGGGCTTGGGTGTTGCAAACCTGCTCAAAGGAGGGGTGCAGGAGGCAGCAGCCAGGTGTGGAGAGAACAGCTGCTTGTTCATGGCTGCTTGGTAGGTGTGCCTGCCTCTCCATTAACTTGGCTCAGTTGAGTACAGGTGTTCCAGGCAGAGTACTGGTGACAGGTGAGGTAGAGGTGGGCAGAGGTTCCCCTGAGGTCCCTGCTGCTCCTGGGCCTACACCCACCCCCACTAGCTATGTTCTCTATTGCCTTCCCCTTTTACCCCACCCAATAGTGATCACTTCATCCAAATTTCCAGTTCCTCTGGGACTTAGGGTTTGTGTCGTGTTCTGCCCCATCTGTGCTACCCTGCCATTCCTGGTCATGGCACAGGAAGTGTCTCCTTGGAACACTCCTGGGGCACCTGCAGAGCCAAGGAACTGACCGGGACCCGGGCCAGAGTTCCTGTGCACCCACTGAGTGCTATGGGACACTGCAGGTCTATAAGCCTCACCAGAGTCTCTGTGGCCCCATCTGTGGTCTAATGCTCCCCAGAGAGACTATGCTGGGACCAGAGTCCAGTCTGTCTTGGTCTGTACCCCTTTTGCCACCAGCATGGAGGATTTGAGCACCTAGGGCAGGGTTCAAAGGGGTGGGAGCTCCTGAGAGGACGTGGCTGGGGCAGTAGCAGGCCGAGGGCGTCTGCTGGAGGAGCAGGGAGTTGCCTCGGCTCTCTAAGGCCGCTCCCCTCTCTAGCCCACTCTCCAGCTTGGCTGTGCTCAAAGCCAGCCGCCAGTGCCCGAACAAGTGGCTTCTGTTCCCAGCAGCGGGGGAGGGGCGGGCAGCCCTGGGCTTCAGGCCCATCTGTCCAGCACTGACCCTGGCCCCCGCCCTGCGCTTGGGGTCTTAACCCTTAGGAGCCTGTGCTGGGCCCTGCACTGCTTGAGGAATGGCACCATTGCTTGCCAACTATCCCTTCTGCACTGCACTCTGGGCTTCCAAGGGTTGTATTTCCCCAGGAGGGGGTACCTTGGAAATGGGGGTGAGGGAGAAGCCAGGCAGCTGTAGCCATGGGCAGTGGGGAGACCGCTTGGCTCAGGAGCTTCTGTTGGAGTTGGGAAGATTGGGGTCAGTGGCTGGAGATAGACCAGGGTACCCCCGGGGAACCATCTTGATCCTCCTTGGGCTACTTGACAGGAGGGTGGGCGCTGTCTATGATAGATTATCTACCAGTGCCACATGTACTCACTTGTCACTGCACGCTCTTTCCAGGTCAGGGAAATAAGCGGAGCCTGAGACAGCCAGGGATGATGTCAGGGAGGGGCACTGGCAGCCTGGCAGTGGCACCATTGCAGGTATTCTAAGCGTATTGCACCCATGTTAAACCAGGTTCTGTGTTCCTCTGAAAGGCAAAGCAAGAGAGAGTGCGTGAGACAAAGACACAGAGCTCTTCTGTCTGCTGATTCACAGCCCAAAGGTTGGGCCAGGCAGAGCCAGGAACCTGGAACTTCATCATGGTCTCCCATGTGGGTGGCTAGGGCCCAAGAGCTTGAGCCATCCTCTGCTGACTTTGCATGGTCAGTGGTAGAGCAGCTGGGACTCAAACCAGCACCCATGTGGGATGCTGGCATCACAGGCAAAAGATTAACTTGCTGTGCCACCATGCTGACCCTACACGACCCTTGCCCTTTGCGTCCTGCCAGCAACCCTGGGAGTTGGGCTCTGTTTTACAGGTAAGGAAACTGAGGCACATAGGGATTGAGTCACTTGCCCAGCATCACAATGAGGTTAAGTGGTTGAGGCAGGGTCAGGACCCAGGCCTGTGTTTGTGCCCTGCAGCTCAACCCAGGGTTGGACTGCATGAGGAGCTGTCCCCAGGTGGCTGAGGTGGCCTGGGGCCGAGGTTCACCCTGGCCAGGTGGTGGGCTCCTCCCTCGGGGGTGGAGTCAGCGCTGTGCTCCTCTGTGCTGATATGTTGACTCAGCTCCTCCACTGCCCTGGGTAGAGAGGTTGTTTCCTGTTTCAGGCTGGGATTCTGCACTCAGTGTGGCCCCTTGAGGGGTCCATGTCCCAGAGGTGACTCAGGCAGCTCTCCCTGCGTTCACTCCCATGCCAGGGCCCACTTCTCCACCTGCACCCTCTTAGCACGGCAAGGCTCCCAAGAGGCAGGTAGCTAACTCTCTGTGTCAGGGATGCTGAGACTTGACAGCACACACCTGCCATGGTGACAGGGGAGGAATGTCTTGTGTTCTTTGGGCCACGGTTCAGAAGAGTAACACCTGTCTCCTAACCAGGTCATCTGTCCTAAACCGTCTGAATGGTCAACAGAGGCTGGGGTACGTGAAGTTAAGCGACCTGTTCAATCACAAATCATTTAGCTGAGTCATCATCAGTTGTTAGCTAACAGATGTGGTAAGGGTAGCTGTAGCTGTTGTGTCCTGGGAGCTTCCTATGTGGCAGGCTGAGTGCCAGGCCCTTTCTGTACCTGTGCCATTCGGCGCTCCACGTTAGGGTCAGGAGCTAGGCAGGCGCTGCCCCTGCCTCGCAGGAGGGAACCAAAACCTCTCTAGGCTAAGTGTTTTGCCCAGGATTGTCCAGCACATGGAGCAGTTGGGTGAGTCAGTGCTTCCCTGACTTTGCAGGGAGATGTCAGTTCGGTCC